TCCGAGCTCCGGAAGCGTTCTTGTTTGGACAGAGGTCGCGACTCCTCAAGTACTTAGCCTCTGAGCCCGGTGTGACGTCCGATCCACGACCGTCCCGTTGCAAGAACGAAGCATTCAATCCCGGACCCAGAGTCCGGATCCGAAACTCGCAAGTATCATTCATCGGAGAAAACCTCCGATTATCCAAGGCCCAAGTTTTCCTGGGTCATCCCGTCGCACCTGGTCTCATACCCGAAGCAAGCGGGAGCTCCTAGCTGCGAGTGCCGCTCAGAGAGCCGTTGATTCGGATATTCACACGGCGGAAGTAATGCGTGAGTTTTTCTTCGTTCGGGTCGCAGCTTGCCGCGGGTTATCATCGAAGCCGTTCACGGCGAAATCGTTCGGTCCACTCACCAGTCAGTCTCCCATCTCTACCCGTTCACTCACTCACTTAGCACTTAGCGAGGAGCCATCATAGCGATGACGGCGGCAGCGGCGGCCATCTGAGGAAGAGGGAAATGGAATCCGAAAAATTTAATCAGGCACTCATTCTCCTCTTCTGTTCTAATAACGGCGGAGGCGACGATTCGGCCTGCTTGCTCGCCAGCTTGGCTGCTGCTCCCCCGCGTCGTTGTCGTCGGTGATCATCGCGCCCGCCGCCACGCAAGACCCGCAGATCGGAGATGAAGAAGGCAGGTGAACGATTAATCGACATCGCCTTTGATCTCCTCCTCCGAGCTTCCGATTCCTACTCATATGATCTTACTATCCGCAGACTTCCAATTTCTGAACGTCATAAGATCGGGGAACACGAAACCGGAGACGAGTTTTTCCGACTTTCGCGTCGCCAACGTCAAAGGAGACTAGTTTCAAATCTATTGTCGACCTTGAGGTCCTGTGTGCTCGCTTGGAGGTCCAACATTGAGGCTCCGATCGTGACCTACGGATGCGAGAAGAACATTCATATGTAGGTACATTCCTGCTGAGCCACTTCAAGCATGAATTCAATGCGTACATTGTAAATCAGAGAGCTACGGGTAGAGAATCGTAAAAAGAGGAAATGTAATAGAGCCACCGCAGCAAAGACGGATGTTCCGGAGAGAAAATGAAGAAAAGAAGCCGGACGGGTGAAGAAAATAGACCACTTAAGGAGAACACCTGCCCGTCGGCGTCGGTGGGAAAGCTGAGGATGAAGTCCCGAAGAAATCCTCGGAGGGTCGAAACTGTTCTCGAATGCGAACTGCATGCGATTTCAAAATTCCCGCCCACGGATTATTTTTCAACGCTGTCGCCGAAGGAATATACCGCTCGATCAAGAACTACAGTCACTCCGATGCCGCAATCCTCTTTCCTCACAGAGACCCGAGAACGTATGAAGGACATCGAGACCCGAGACAGATGTCGGTCTAAGACTGCGGTAATTTCGATCGAACTATTCCAGGAAATGTCGAGAACATTCCAAACTCGACGAAAAGCTGAAAATCATACGCTTCCTATCGAGTTTTGTAGACGATGGATATTTTTGCTTCTTCCCAAGCGGGTCCATTGTCATTACTTAGACAGGGAAGTTGCGCAACATTCGGATGGGACGAGAATATTTCGAAATATGCGCGAGCTCGGCTGACTTTCCCTCGACGTTCTGGCCGTACCGAATGATAATCGCGCAAAACGAGTAGCGATCGGAAATCGTTAGGGACGCTCGGAAAGCAAAAAGAAACAAGTAGCAAAGAAATATCCAAATCAAATATTCGGACGACGACCGACGATTCGCCCAGCGGGGCCTTGAAGTCGGATCTGCTTCTTTTTTTGAGCGAATCTCAACGCTGTGATCTTTGTGGCCGTAATTAATTCGAGTGTTTTAATGATCTCACGAAGAGGAGCAGCAACGATGATGACAACACCAGCAGCTGCTGCCTTCGAGGATCCGGCGACAGAGAGGCCTCGGACTATAAACTCGGACGCGAGACAACTCCGTAATAAGGAGAAACATACGCAAAGTTCTCCCCTTGTCCGATCCATGTCCCCCGCAGCGGTTCGACTCGAGCAAAGGGAATCGAACGGTCACGTCCTACAAGACCCTCGCTCTCTCGTTTGCTCTCGAGTCCGGCGACGACGCAGTGAATCATTATCTCCTCTCAGTGTGGATTTAGTAATTCACAAGCCGGAATCGCCGCACCAGGTACGTCCACACAGAGACGAGCGATCGACAATTGAACGGACGAATGGGATCGGGAGCAGCGGTAAGGACGGTCCCGCGTCCTCCCACCGCGAGCAACGGTCGGAGTAAGAGATAATTACTGTTTAATCAGACGGCGAACGACCAGGGAGATCTATAAATGGAGCGGCATGATTTTCCGTCGATCGACCCCGAGCGGGTCCTTCCCAACCTGTTCAGTGTTTTCGTGCCAGCACCCGATAGGACATCTGCTCCCAGCGCTCGTTGAACTGGAAATATTTCCCTTCGACTCACGACAGAGGAGCTTCAAGCTCACCGAGAACCGTCAGAATATCCCCTCATTCAGCGGCTCGAGCTTCAATCGTGATGGCGCTTCTGGATCGTTCTGAACCTTTCGCGACATCTGGCGTGTGACGAACGGACTAGGTCCGTTGCGCATTCACTACATTCACAGCACACTATCCTTCCCAACAGATTCTAGTTTCCCATAATCCATTCAGCTATTTCCTCAGAGGAACCAGAGAGACTCTTTGGGTCTCATATCGCCACATGGCGTCTTGCGCTCCGGAACCCCTGTTAGACCACGAGACATATCCGTTTCCTCACGAGCATGTCCGCGCCTGTCCGGACAGAACGCACTCGGACACCCCCATATTGTGTATTCTGATTGTGTTGAAACGAGTGAGCCTGAAGTGATGTGCGTACGAAATGGTCTCCGTTGCTCAGGGTACGACTGCCGCGGGCGCCTAATGGTACCCCCAGCTTGCTTTCATTAAGAAGGTGCGGAGCGATCTCGCAGCAGAACACCAAGCAGCCAGCGAGCAGCGGTAAATAATACATCGCAGCCTCCCATCGGAGACACGTTTGTCACGCCTGGTGTCGCCGGACATATTTTTAGGTACGCCCGGGTAAAAACTCAGGGTCGTCCACAGCACGGCAGTTCTCCGATCGATACCGATAATTATTGCGAGCTAAGATTCCTCGATTTCCAACGAAAGCTCCCCCTTCCTCACTTTGCGCCCCTGTGAAACTCCGGAGACTCCGGATCGATTTCCATTCCGAAAATGTGAAGTCCACTCCTATTCTCGAGGGATGCGTTCCACCTTGGCTCGCTAACGAGTTCCGACCCTCGCTCGCCGTCTGGATGAAATTGACGACTGGAGCTTCGGGCGAATCTATTTTCGAGTACTAAATTCTGACGTATGTATGCTACAACATACGCACCATGGACCCAATATGCGAGCACGCTGGGGAGGCAGAGGCACGCTCGAACAAAGTCGGAAGCCACCGGAATTTCGCGTTCGAACAGAGAATGGTAAACATATTCGCTTCGTGAGAAACGCGCGCCCGATGGAAGTCCTGGAATGGGGGGTCCTGGGCGCCGTGATGGTGTCGGTGCAAGCGGCCGGCCCGTTGTTTCGCACCACGGCGCCCGGCCGACCGGAACAGTAGCATTGAAATATTGCGCTTTATGGAAATCCTCGCTGAGGAGCTTCAGCCAGTGCAGGTGGCTGCCTGGCCCGAGCTGCTGGGATGCCCGTCCCCAGCCAACCGCATATTTTGCCTTTCTTCCGATTTCTTCTTGCGTAGACGCCGGCGGTGGCTCGGTCGGCGGGCGGGCGGGCGGTCTGGCTGCTTGCTGCATGATTTATTTCTCAACAAACCTCCACCGACTCTTACTTTTCCGTGTACTTTCTCCCCTTCGGTCTTCGTCCCCTTCCTACCTTTCTCATTTCGCAGCTCGCCATCCACCGCAGCCGCGGACCAGCAACTCTCCGCTCAACTTTCCGGAAACAAACCCTCATCCGCCGCAGCGGACTCGCTCGTCCTTAATCTTCGCGCTTCTCAAGCCTTCCATTTGTTTTTTTTTCACGGGAGCTGGGCGTCTGGCGCGGTTGCCATGGCTCGGGTCGAATATCGTCTATCCTCTTAGCGGTTCAGGGCAGCGGTTCCGTGTCTTCTTTGATTCACATCGATTATGTAAAAAATTAAGCGAACAAATGTCTCGCTTTGTTCCAATCCAAAGTCCAGAGGAACGATGGAATACGCGCCCATCGATGCGCAGCGAGTTCCCGTATCGGTGGTCGCAAAATGAGTTTCATTCGACTAAAGTAACGGATTCGGGACGTGTTGGAGGAGTGGACGAAACAAAAAAGAAGGATTTCGGAGTGTCCGCGGAGACGCGAGAAAATGCGGAGCCTCTGAGGCGCAGTTTTCGAACTGTTAACCAACTCTTGAAAAGTCCCTCGCCGTGAAGGTTACTACGGTCGGAAAGTGGTAGAAGAAAGAAGAGGAGGAGGAGGAGGAGGGAGAAGATCCGGCGATAGAGCAGGGTAATAACAATTCCGACAGATGAGCTTCGTCGGTTCCTCCGTTGCTCCCTTGCTTACTCGCTCGCTAGCTCGCTCGCCTCGTCTGGCAGAAGAACCACGATGTATCTTATTGAGGCAGTCGCCGGCAGTCGCTCCATCGTTCTCTTCGTCGGCTTCCTCCTCTCGCTTCAGTTTCGGCGTTTTACAAGAGGTCTGCTCGAGCTATATCAAAGCTTGTTCTGAAAGGTGTATGCCGTAGCAGGTAACTGGTGGTTCCACAGGGAGTAAGATTCCGTCAGGTCATTGGTTTTTATATATGTGTCTACGGAGGGCACTCCGCCGTGATCAGAGAACATTAAGCCCAACATCCGTGGAAAGAGCAAAATCTCACGGATAAATGTCATTGAAGGAACTCGCTAGAAGCCGAAGTGAACTTCGGATTATCTTACGGGCCGAGGATCAATTGGATCCGGCGGATCGCGCAAGAATGAACGGAGAATGTCGGAACTGATGAAACTTCGACTTTTTTTCAGGCAACGACACTCCGCGCGGACCCCGTTTCAGTCGAACCCCGCCTCCGAGCGTGAGCTTCTCCAACTCGTCTGGAGCCACTATCGACTGCGCAGCTGAAGGCGACCCCTTACCGACGGTCAGATGGATCACCGAGATCGGAGATCAGGTACGCGAAGGCAAAATACCCCGCCTTTAGTCAGCCGCCCGGTGAGCGAGCGGGCGAGCGAGCGAGCCAGCTAGCTAGCTAGCAAGAAGTTGCATCGAAGAGGAAGCAGAAAAAAGAAAAAAACAGCAGCCCACGGAACTGGCATGCCTTTGCGCTTTCCCCCACTCTCGGTCTTCTCCGAGCGCTCGGCGACGGCAACGCTCCGCATCGATAGAACCATAAGACGACGACGTAGCAGAGTGGGAATTAACTTGATGTACGAGCGTCCCATATTGTTTCCCGCCTGGCGGAATCGTGGGATATTGGAAGCTGGGAACACAATATTTGACTCAGTCAGCGGAATTCAGGAATAATTCCTCCCAGCTTCCCACACGACGAAATATCCGGAGATTCCGAGTCGGGACTTCCGGCTCCTTCCTCTCTTTCTGAACTCTGAACTCAGTCTTTGGATTTCCAGGTCCGTTCTGATGTGAGCCACTTGGTTCACGATCGATACGACGGGAGTCTCGTGTTCGTTCCCTTCCGCTCTGAGGACTTTCGCCGCGACGTTCACGACACAACTTACAGATGCAAAGCATCGAATTCTGTCGGAACCATCATCAGTCCACCGGTGAAGGTGAAGGCCGGTAAGTTTACACGAGGCCAGATGAAGAATCAGGATCGCGAGACTTTTGCGGTGACGCCGGTTCCGTTATGTTGGGGAAGGCTCCGCGAGCTACTAGGTCACTTCATGTCTGATATTAGGGGATTCCCCATGGTGGTTTACTCTGTAGTATATTTACCTCCCTCGCGTCCCCCTTTGGGTAGAGGGCAAGTAGACGAATTTTGGAGGAGCAGCGAGGGTTAGCGGGCCCGGGGTTTAGACTCACTCGGTCAGAGCTCCTGCCAAATCAAGCTGGCGGGCGGGCGGGCGGAGTCGGGTCTGAACGGTACATAGAAAGACCGATCCCCCTCTCTTTCGGTCTTACGATGGCCTTTAGTCTATCCGACAACGAAAAGCCTATTACGAACAAGAATTTTCGTGAACGTCTGCCTTCCGTCTGGCAAGATTTTGAGCTCGTTATGGGCTAGCGACTCGCGGAATCCTCGCTCGGGTCCACTGAGTGGGAACGGCCGGCGATCGCGAGTTCCGATCTCACTTCGAATATTTCGCCGAGTCGGGATACACACACGTCGACGTTTGTCCATGTTCAGGAATCGAAGGAATTCGAATTCTTCTCGATTCTTTGCAATGCTTCAAGTGTCTCCGAGCTGTTGCAAATGAATCGCAACGCCTAAGTCGGGCCTGCACGCGGCTCTGCCGCTCCTCCGGTTCGTAGTCGAGCCGGATTCGGTGCCACAGACTGCGAATCTCGTGCGCTAAGGCCGCCATGCTTGACTCATAGGGAACATAACAAAGCCCCTCCTTGTTCAGGAGTGCGGAATCCGCTGGATTTAGGGCTCCACTCTCGCTCTGACACACCACAAGTGTTGCTTGAGGAATGGCTGCCGCTTGCCCGGTGAAGGTTTTCCGTGAGCGACAAAGATAGACAGCGGGCGGAATAGGAGCAGACGAAAAAAAATGCTGCGAGCGGGGGAGAATAGAGAAGTAGCTCGGTCGCGAATCTCTCGAGGCCTTTTACCGAAGAACTGTTCGCGGATTCGTCCCATCGATGCTCCGACGCTGCGTGCGTGTGGTGAAGCTTTTACTTCATGCCGAGGCCCGCAGCACAGCCGCTGAACCTGAAGATGACATTTGAAAGGAACCTCTTGGCCTATGTCCTTTCGGTCGCTATGGGACGTTTTCGCTTTCCGAGATGTCGTCCAACTTCGTGAAGCTCAATCTCCATTCCTCCACATTCTGCGAATTCGAGCATTTCAAAATCCGAGAGAGAGTTTTCACTTCTATTCTCGTCCTGAAATGTTCTGCGTCCAAGTCAGAGAACGACGAGGCATCGAAGCGGAGGAAAAAGAAGCATCTGACGTGAAAACTTCGAATTCCGCGAGGAGCGTCATGGCAACATCGCGGACGATGAATTTAATCACCGTGATGATCGTTACCGTATATTCACCCGAGAAAATCCGCAGCACACTACATATATGGTTCGCGCCTACCCTTCATGTTTATCAGCTCGCAGCTCTGCCTACTTGCATATTCATCATCACACTCGCGTTTACTCGAACGCGTATGCGGCTTGAACTGAGCACCGTGAACTCTGCCGAGGCTCTCACCTTGTTTACATTATACCTAGGCGACGTATCGTCGTGTCTTTTCATGAGAATGTCTGATCCGGAAAATTAAGAATGCGACGGCAGGAGAAGAAACCACGGAAGCACTGATATTCACTGACAGGCACTGACAGAATACGTTCAAAGATTGTGAATTGATCCAAGTGAGCGCGTTTGCGATTCACGCTGCGCGTGCGGGAGTGCGCCTTGAGGGCTGCCCCGCTCACATTCCTTTAAATCGGTCTTCCTTCCAAAACGGAAACCGCGAAGGGGAAGTCGAGGAATGTTCGACGGAATCGGGAAGCAACAGAGCTGTGTAAATGAGCGCCGGGGGTGGGGGCGGAGCGACAGGGATGCAAAGGTGGCGTTGAAGGAAAAAGCGGGGTGCCAAGCTTCGGGGAGAGCTCGAGTTCTCAGCGTTTTGCAAGAAGTGTTTAAGGGAGCGCTCGCTCCGAGAACTTATCCGGGCTGTCCTTCTTTGGCTCTTATCCTGGATTAACAAATTGAATTAGGAGCACCCGCTGCTGCCAGCATTAAGCTTGCTTTACTCATTAAGACAACGACAAAAACGACGACTTGGATGAGCGGCTCTCGCTAGCCCATCCACTTGCTTGCTCAGCCAATCTCCCCTCTCGCGACTCGAGATACGATCGTGAGAGCCAGCCAGCCAGTTGTATCTCCCAGTTTCCTTCTAATCGGAACTCTCCTCCCGCGACAGCTGATTTCCATGCGGATACCTGCGCTCAACAGGGCTCTGCAAGTCGCGACGGCCTTGAGAACCGAAGTTCTTCTTCTACCGAACTGGAATCACGCACGAGTGCCAGAGGAATACGGGCAACTGATTACTCAATTCATAGACCGTCGCGAAACCGCCGTTCCCGACACAACCTCATAGGTCATCGTTTTAGCTCATCCGTGGATGGAATTTGGAGGCAAGGGGGGCGAGCTGGGCGATAAAAGGCGAGCCGGGCAGCTTGCGTCTCGGACGCTCTGGAACGAAACGGGATCTTGTTTCCAATCAGGACGCTGGTGCCGTATGGGAGAAGCTCCACGACATGGATGAGAAGACTTGTGAGAACGAGGAGTAGGAGGACGGGGAGAGGACTGGGACACGGACGCGGCGTGTTGTCTAACGAGATTAGCGTTTGCTTTCGCTTCTTGCCGCCACCCGTCTAAGCGTTTGTGCGTCAGTCAGTCACCGGGTCTATCTCTCAATTCAGGCGGCCGCGCGGCCGGCCGGCCATCTATTCGCTGGCCGGTCTCTGTTCCGTTGGGTACTCGCCGGGTGCTCCTGGAGCATTTTCTCCTGGAGTGGGTGTCCAGACGTTCTCGGAGGCACTTAGCGAGATCACATGGTCGTAAGAGCTCGCGTCCATCAGACATCGGACAATGAGGTTTTTCAGCGATGCTGCTGCCTTTAGCTTGTTCGATGTCGTTGTATCAATCGCTAGTTAATTTCAAGTTTGTGTCTCTAATCTCGTTTGGCTAATATTCTCTCCACGCTGAGCGATCCTTAATTCCCCTCGCCCGTCTCGCCGGTACAGCCTCCTTCCGAGGCTCCGCGACGCCGTCTTCAAATATTATTCATTATTCCTTACGCATCTCAATCGGGAGAATGAATAGTTCCTCGTCCGTACGGCTCGTTTCGAGTTCTCGAGAAGTGCTGCATAGTGAGAGCGTATTTTACGCGAGTGACGGATTAGGTGAGGTGCAATCTACGCGCGGCCTGCTCCGGATGATTGTGGAACAAGAAGACCAATTGTTTCAGAGTAATAAAGTATTCCGAGTGAAGGAGGGCAACGATGTAGACGGCGACGACCTGTTGGCTTTATGCTGACATCCTTCTCCAAGTCGCGTCGTTGGCCTTCGTTGGCTCCCCGTTTTCCAAGCGGTGTATTCATATGTTGTCGTTGTAAGTCGTCTACCGCCACCACGACCACAACCACTACTACTTTACGAGTCACTAAAACACGCCAGCAGACAAAAGCGTTAGCCTTTTCGCGAGTCCCCGTGTATGCGGCGGCCGATACCACCATCGCCTTTTCCGTTGCTCCCGTCCCCCGTCCCGAATACGCTCGCGTTGCGTTGAGATGGCGCCGCAGAAGAAGGACGAGTGGCATCGCCTCTGCGGAGCGCTAGCGGCGGGTAACAGAGACGAGGCTCGCGATGTGTGTAGTTCGCGAGGAAGAAGCGACGCTATATGAGAATGAGAATTTATTCGCAGCATTTGCATTCCCTCTACGCCGAGCGCGCTAAGACCGTCTCTTCGCATTGCGACGTTGAGATATATGACACGGATCAGGCCACAACTTGGAAAACACGCGCCCGCGGAAAGAAACAAAACCACACCAGTCAGCCATGTGGAAGAGAAACGCGGCAATCGCGTCAACTTCTCTCATTCCGATTCTCCAGCTCGTCGAATTCGACATGCAGAATGTTCCGGAAGGCGGTTTCTTCCCCGAAAATCCGGCCGATCAGACCTACGGCTGCGACAGAATCCGGCAGGACTTAGGGACTCCGAAGAACCGGAGAAGTCTTCGTTGCTTGGACAGAAAACTTTCGCCGCCTATATAACTGGAAGTTTGGAACGAGACCAGGGCTCGTTCTCGACAATAATTGAGCCCAGTTGTCAGATTCACATGCTTCCATTCGGTCTCCGGGATCGGCTAAGCCTGATGTGATTGAGTACAGGTGGTCGGAGCGGGAATCATTGATCAGATGATTCAATCTATCGTGGATGAAAAAGAGATGGTACGAAATTTTCCTCGAGGCCGACGGAGATGGGAACAAGAGTATAGTGGAGGGAACAAGCGGGGGAAAATTCGAGGATTGGGAACGTTGAACGAATCCGATCCGAGAGACTCCTTAAAAGTTTCTTTTTCACCACTCTGCACTACCTGAAGAGAGTCGAATACAGCGACAAATCCACTTTGGAATATTCTCCCTACTTCGTTCGTTAGACTGCACCGCTCCGAAACTGTTGTAGAGCTCAAACCGGTCGTATTGGCGGAATCGGAACCGAGACGGGTAAGATGAGAGTGAAGGAACGAGGAGCACTTGAAAACGAGGTGGATGAGGTTCTTCAAGTGTCTTTAGGTCTAAACATTCTTCTGAAAGGAGCTCCTCGGCTTTCAGCTTCCCCGTAGTCGCTCCCGTCGATCCTCCTTCTCGAAGACATCCTGTCTTCGTTCTCCACCTGTTTCCTTTTCTACGCTCCACCTGCTTTCCTTATCTGTTTGTGAACTTTTTTTTCGACCCTGGAACGGTCTGGTAGGGAGAACTTGGAATTCCCGGCGATCCGGTCTCTCTGTCGATCGGGAAGATTCCGATCTCCCGTGTAATGATATGGGGGAAAATTCTCATATCATTCGAGGATGACGCAGCTCCTCCGTAGTCGTGTCGATCTCAGGCGGCTTGA